TCAGTATTATCATTACACATAACATCAAAGCTTTCAATGCATATATTATCGCCCATATCTATCTTATCTCGTATGACAATAATTGATATCTCGAAACGCCCTGGCTCATAGATCTGTTTTGCGCTGCCGACGTCAAACATCTGGCAGCATTCGGGAACGATGTGAGTTCAAACTGTTTCTAGTTAAATCAGTTATTTTATCGTTAATATTCATGTTGATCTCTTTATGATCATCATCGCTATCACTTTTCGTCTTCTTCAGTACTTATTGTAAGCGTAAGGCGTTGTGAGGTTCTTGATCACCGCTGCCATCAGATGAAAGCGTAAATGACCACGCAAGCCACTAGATGTAAGCGTAACAGAGATGGTCTTGGAGCGGTCAATGAAAAGGGTCTTAACTTGCTGGTTTATTTCTGAAGATAGATATGAGACCCCCAAGAGACCCCCGTGTCCCCGGGTGGAGGACGAGGTGGTGGAGCTGGACCCTGTGTCGCTTGGCCTGTCTGCCGTGTCTCCTCTGTCCCCCCTGTGTCTTAGGCACGTGCCCTTTTATGCGGCGGTTTACTTGGAGGGCGGATGTTTATTCCTGTGTGAAAAGAGAAAGGAGGGCAGCACCTGCATCCTGCGCAAGGAGAAAGGCATTTGCTTGGACTGAGGTGTGAATCTGCCATCCGGTCTTGCTACGTATTGTTCACAACAGATAGGGGTACAGGTTCTGTTCGGTATCTACAGATGGTTCCTGGTGATCCGATGGTCGCTTGGGTCGTCGCGTGCCAAGGTAGCGGAGCGGGTGCGGCGGTGGTTTCGCGCTGAGGTGCAACATTCAGTAGCGAGGAGGGTCAATCATCTTCAGAAGCTGAAATATATGTGTACCAGGCCAGTAAAAGGGCTAAGGAGGAGGATAATAATGTGTTTGTCAATCACCTTACTAAGTTGCAAGAAAAAAATGAGGGCATAATAAGAATAATTTGTTACGAGAAGGGTAATGTGTCAAGTAAGTGGGTGTTAATTACATGGATTTGTTAGGATTAGCGAGTTCTGTAGAGTACCATCATACCGAAGAGAGAAAAAGTAATTGGACAAGAATTCCATATCTTTGGGATAAATAGGCAAGTATATATGCTTCGAACATATAGGCAGCTGGGCCTGAACTTAATTCTAACAGTGCGCGTCTCGGCGCTTCAATCGTATGAGCGTAAGTGTGCGGCGGGCGCAGGATTCCTCCGTTTACGGCCATGTGCCGGGCGTGCGCGTCTAGGGCGCTTCAATCGTATGAGAGTAAATAACATCGCGGTGCGGCGGGCGCAGGATTCATTCGTTTACGGCCTTGAGCCGGGCGTGCGCGTTTCGGGCGCTTCAATCGTATGAGCGCAAGTAATATCTCGGTGCGGCGGGCGCAGGATTCTTTCGTTACGGCCATGAGCCGGGCTTAAAATTAACTTGCGGTGATAATAATAATGTAAGCCTGTATGAAGTATGGTGTCCTGTAATGCATTATCATCGTTATGATCATTTGCAATAGACTACCTACCATCAGTCAGATACAAGTTACATATTCACCAATTCCTTAAACTAAAGAAGCATAAATTCTAGCATAGATGCGGATAAGATATCAAACTTCGAGAGGACGTCATGAAAGCGATTTGGGTTCATTTGAAAGTCTTAGGGATGGCACTTAGTAAAATTCATAATCCTAGGGTGAAATCCGTGCGGAGTGGGCAGGCAAGTGGGTTTGGGCCTAAGGCAGGTAATCGACATATATCTTAGACCTATGTGTGAAAAAGCGAACGATTAGCGTGGGGAGTATAAGTAAATACAGGTGTTGTGAAAGACAGAACGATATACGCACATTCATAGAGGAAGTAGTAACGAGTTACTTACTAATAGGGTACAGTATGCAGGTGAAAACAATAACATCACAGCGAATATCGTAGCAGTAAATATGAATAACATAACGGGGAAAATCGAACATATCAATACATAGTTATTTGTCCTAAGAGAAAATAAAATATAATGAACTGCAATGTGAAAACAACAATAATAAACATTAGATAAAATACAATAACAGAAAAATACCATAGCAATTAAAGTATGGTTAGGGAAGGGGAATGAGGTGGGAGGTGTGGGTGGGTGTCACTTATGTTTGATCTCAGTGTGTGACTTCGCTTGTTGTGTTGAAAAAAACAATGGTTGACAGCGAGAAGTTATTTATCATATAGTTAGTAGTTTGTGTTCGTTGAGTGGCATGTACTTGAATTTGAAAGAGGGCAACTTCTATGCAAGGTGTGGGTGGGTATAGGGAGGGAAATAGCTAATCTGGCACTAATAGGTACACTTACTTTCAATAGTAGCTAGGAAGTATTGGTGGTGCTGAGTAGAATGGCGGCTCCATGGTTGTGCTGACGAAGGTTCGTGAAGACGTGGCGAGGTAGATGAGCCGGATTTGTGGCGGCGTAGAGTGCGGGAACATATCGTCAGCGACTTCATCAGGAGGGTAGCACAGGCGTGAGTAGTCAGCACGAAGTAGTAGGGTAGACATGGTGCGAAGAAGACTTGGTAGCGATGGCTGGGCGTTAAAGGAGGCGAGGAGGCACTTCGACAGGAGTAGCTTGTAGGCAGATAGCATGGATCGGCGTCGGCGAGGAGGTAAGCGTAAGGCGTTGTGAGGTCCTTGATCACCGCTGCCATCAGATGTAAGCGTAAGTGACCACGCAAGCCACTAGATGTAAGCGTAACAGAGATGGTCTTGGGGCGGTCAATGAAAGGGGTCTTAACTTGCTGGTTTATTTCTGAAGGTAGATATGAGACCCCCAAGAGACCCCCGTGTCCCCGGGTGGAGGACGAGGTGGTGGAGCTGGACCCTGTGTCGCTTGGCCTGTCTGCCGTGTCTCCTTCTGTCCCCCCTGTGTCTTAGGCACGTGCCCTTTTATGCGGCGGTTTCCTTGGAGGGCGGATGTTTATTCCTGTGTGAAAAGAGAAAGGTGGGCAGCACCTGCATCCTGCGCAAGGAGAAAGGCATTTGCTTGGACTGAGGTGTGAATCTGCCATCCGGTCTTGCTACGTATTGTTCACACTTATTGTTGTAATGATGATGAGGCTGATTGCCATTATAGTGATAATGTAATAAAAATAATTATTATTATCATTATTATTACTAATATTATTAATGTTGTTGTTTTTTGCTGCCATTGATATTATTATTATTATTATTATTATTATTATTATTATTATTATTATTATTATTATTATTATTATTATTATTATTATTATCATTATTATTCTTGGTTTTGCTATTACTATCATTATTGTTATTATTACTATTAATACTTTTTCAGCATCGTCATCGCCATTACAATTATCATTATTATTTTGATTATTATTATTATCATTATTATTGCTATCATTATTGTTCTTCTTATTATTTTTATTATTATCATTATTACTATTATTATTATTATCATTATTATTATTATTATTGTTGTTGTTGATGTTATTGTTATCATTATTACTATTCTTCTTCTTCTTATAGTTTTATTATTATAACTATTATTATTATTATTATTATTATTATTATTATTATAACTATTATTATTATTATTATTATTATTATTATTATTATTATTATTATTATTATAACTATTATTATTATTATTATTATTATTATTATTATTATTATTATTATTATTATTATAACTATTATTATTATTATTATTATTATTATTATTATTATTATTATTATTATTATTATTATTATTATTATTATTATTATTATTATTATTATCATTATTATTATTATTATTATTGTTGTTGTTGTTGTTTTTGTTGTCATAACAACGACTGCAGCACCACCAACAACAATAAATAACAATAATAACAATTATCATGATCATCATTTCTATCATTATTATTATTATTATTATTATCATTATCATCATCATCATGATTATTATCATTATCATTATTATCATTATTATTATTATTATCATTATTATTATCATTGTTGTTGTTGTTTTAATACAATATCATTATTATTGTTTTTATTATAATTATAAATATCATTATCATCATTATTATAAATGATATGCATCTACATCATGGGAATAATATGCATCATTATATTTATCATCATTATCTTTTCTATCATCCTTATCATTATCACATATATTTCCAAAAGGTTCGAGATATGAAATTGAGGAACCGGAAGTGATTTTGTAAGATATGGTATGGAATATACACTACATGGTCTCAATTTCTTTTTGATGGAAATTTGTCCAGTGACGTGTTAGTGAAATATTTTCTACGTTTTAATGGGTGGGGCTCTCACTCTCTCTCTCTCTCTTTCTCTTTCTATCTGTCTATCTCTCTGTATTTCTGTCTGTCTGCCTCTGTCTCTGTCTGTTTCTGTCTGTCTGTCTCTGTTTCTGTCTGTTTGTCTGTCTCTGTTTGTCTGTCAGTCAGTCTGTCTGTCTGTCTGTTTGTCCGTCTGTCTGTCTGTCTGTCAGTCTGTCTGTCTCGTTCCGTCCCTCTTGTTCCCCTTATTACTGCACTCTATTTCTAAATTTTGTCCTATTACCAACAGGGCTGCAGAGGAAAGTGTCATAGTATATAACAAATGCTGTTGCTGTCTGTCACTCCGCAGAGGCTCTCAGGCTATTGCTGCTGTTAGTCTGGTGAGAGTTATTCAATCAATTAATTTCCTCGTTTTGTTCTGTTTACTGTTTTATACACTGTATTTCTGTAGTTATACATGCAAACGGATTTGTATAGCAATGCATAAAAGTGTTAATGTTAAAATGTTATACCTTTAGCATGAAATGTGGCTTAATTGTTTTTATTTCTTATTGGATTAAGTATTATTTTGGAGAAAAATGTGTGTATATGTAGTGTGTATGAGTATACATATACACATACTCTCCCCCCCCCCCTCTCTCTCTCTCTCTCTCTCTCTCTCTCTCTCTCTCTCTCTCTCTCTCTCCCTCTCTCTCTCTCTCCCTCCCTCTT